AGAAGGGAGAAAGAGGAGGAGAGGAGAGGAGAGAGAAAGGTACTGATGAGAGGAGTATTAGGGTTGGGGGGATTTAAAGAGTAATGGGATCGGTTTTTATTTTAATTTTTTTTATGGCTCCGGTTCAAAAAGGCACCGGTTCAAACCGGTGGCCTTTATGTTTTTGGCACCGGTTTGAAGTGAACCGGTGCCATATGTCTTGGTTCATTAACCATTTTTAGCCTATTTTTTCCACCGGTTTGGCCTGAACTGGTGCCATTTGGGGGTTGCCTTTTTGTATTTTTCTACTAGTGTTAGATTAAGAAGTTCCTAACTGAGCTGGATGTCATACCAAGTGCTCAAAAGGGAATCGAGTTGTATTGTGATAACAATGGCACCATTTCTCAATCAAAGGAGCCTAGGTCACACTTCAAATCCAAATATGTAGAGAGGAAGTATCACCTCATTCGAGAGATCGTTGACAGAGGAGATGTCAAGATGTGCAAAATTCATACGGATGAGAATATTGCTGATACACTTACTAAAACCCTTCCACTTCCAAAGCATGAGAAACATGCTAATGAATCTGGATTGAGGCAAATGATGTAATTAGAAGTTATACTTGTTTTTGGAGAAAAATAAGTTACATATGTAATACATTTATTTGCAGAATTATGTTTATCAGAAATTTTATTATTTCTCTTATTTAATTATGGTTTTCGATATTAAATAAAATGTCCAAAATAATTATGGATTGATGGGCTCATTAGGTTGATGACCTGGTGAATGAAACCCCACAGGTGAACAAAATCTATATATTATTTAAGTTCCTAGTTCAGAATCATTAAACTGGACATAAATAATTTCTTAAACTGGACTAGCATGTAATATTGATTGGACAGTGCATTTTCATGGGCTATAGGATCATAGTGATGATGCTCGGTCAATCACATGGATATGCATGAATGATGCATGATCGAACTATAGACCTACTTTGAAGTTCAAGTGTAGAACTTCTGGATATATTAGTGGATTCCTTTGACATGAGTGGAACACTGATTCCATTCAATGATTGATTTAACAGTGATACACTCAAACGTCCAGCCGTAACTGGGGATTATAAAGGGTGTTTCCCGGTTGCTTCATGAGTTTAGTGGGAGCTTTAGTTGCCACAAGATTAGATTGAGTCTACCTATTTAATTAGGAATGTGTCTTGGCCCCTTGAAGAGGGAGAATTCAAAAAATGCATGGTCGTGCTCAAATGCATTACATAGTAATCATTTGTTTAGTGAATCTAACTCAGTATTCAAGAAAAGATTTGTAGACTAATATGATCACGACATGAGATGCAATCATATTATCCAATCGACACACATTGACTTAAGGAATTTGAATATTGCGCACTTGTCTCAGACAAGTGGGAGATTGAAGGAGTTATGTCTTCGATAAGTGCAATTACTAGATATATCAAGGATCACGATTATGGAGATAATTAGTTCATTCTATAGGGTCGTCAATGTTTGGTACTAGATATGACAATTGATCTTTGGGCTAGCTTAATGGCCCAAAGCCTTATAGAGTGGATCCTACAAGGTCACACATAAGAGTATTGGGTTAAACAAGTTAGAGGCCCATTATTGGGCCTCATGAGTTCATGACATACCATGTTGATTATTGGGCTTGGATAGTTAGAAGAGTCTAATGGGTTTTGGACTTAACATGGTTTTATTTCTAGATATGATCTATAAATATAAACCATGCCTAGGGTTGCATAACAGAACAATTGACATACAGTGAATTGTCACACAAGCAACCAAGCTTCCCAAAACCCTAACTCTCTCTTTCTCTCTACTCGGCCCCCTCTCTCTCCTCCCTGTCCGTACAGACCTCCTCCTTGGGTGGCGCATGTGGTGGCGCATGGGTGGTGTTGTGGTGTGTTCGTGGCTCAAATCTCCGTTGAAGGTTGATTGAAGTGTTCAATCACAACTAACTAGCATTAGTGGAGGTTTAATCTGTTCTCGTGGACTAAGTAAAGGAATCACACATGGGGTTCTTGTTTTCCTTATTGTTCTTGTTCGATCACTTGTGGAATCACGCTTCAAAGGTATAATTCTTACATCTTTATGTGTTATGCATGACATCCTTGGTTTAGGTGCTTTATGAATATGATTCATATATATTCCGCAATTTAGTACCTATAATCTCCTATACACCAGTCAACCACCACGACTCATCCCCTAACCACTCTCACCACCATAGCCCATCCCCTAGCCACTCTTACCAGAACCACTCTCTCATCACCACACCCATCCCCTAACCACTCTCATCACCACCATGACATGAACTCCCACCATAACCACCCCAAACTACTCGCACCCAATCACCACCACAAAAATTCAAAACCCGAACCCAGCCAATTCGCAGCCACAACCAACCTCAACCAACTCGCAGCCACCACAAAACCGCCCCTTACACACCCTCTCACCACCACGTACAAACCCTAATCAGTTTTTTTCGAGGAGGATCGTCGGCTGTAATTAGGGGAACAAAAGTCGGCAGCGACTTTAACAAGGGTTCGAGGTGGCTGGTCGAAGGTTTTCTGGTTAAGGTTTGTGGTGGTGAGAGGGTGTGGTGGTGATAGGGTGTGTAAGGGGCGGTTTTGTGGCGGCTGCGAATTGACCGTTCGTGGTGCCTGGTTAGAGGTTTTGTGGTCAGACTTTAAGGGAGATAGACGTCACCGGTGTTTGGGGAACGACTGGGCGCGAACGGGAAGCTGTGTTGTGCGCTGGCAGCTAAGGGGAAGGGGAAAATGGTGGCTGACTGGTGGAGGTGGTGGTGTTTGGCTGGTTTCTGATTTTTTTTTTTAAAAAAAAAGAAAATTCTTTTAATTATTTTTGTTTTAAAAAATTAAAAAAATAATTGACCTATTAATAGCTAACACGTGGCATTTGACTTAAAAAAACCGGTCATCAACAAGTCATAGATTTATCGCAGAAGGTGGGGTATAAAGGTTGGATTTTTGAGGAATAAATTGAAGGTTGGATTTTTAGGAGTCAAAAGTGCAAATGTTGGATTTTTCTTTTCCATTTTTCCTTAATTATATAACTTTGATTGTATTTTATTACTAATATACAAACAAGAATTTTATATGAGATGTTGTTAAATCAATTTGTTTCATGCAAATACTAGCCACAATACTATTTAGGCCATGTTCTTTATACAAATAATATTTAGTTAAAATAAGGAAAAATTAGAAAATAACACCCAAAAATTGTCACGATTTTGATAACACCAAAAAAAAAAAAAAAAAAAAAAAAAAAAAAAAAAAAAACTTAGATTGTAACACCACCAGAAAACCAAAAATTCTGATTTCACCACGACTTAACTTTTTCATCCAAAAAATTGTTAGTGGGTCCCACATTGTACACGTGTCAATTATACATTGGATTAAAATAAATAAAAAAACAAAAAAAACTTTAAAAAAAAAAAAGGAAAACCCTTAAAATACCCAGCCACCATCGGCGTCGTCGTTCTACCGCCGTTCTCCAACCCAGCCTCCACCACCGTCACCCAATCCCAACCAACCACCCTCGACGCACAAAACCAGCCAGCCAACCACCCCTTGACTGTCGAAATCAGCCCAAACGTACCCATGAAAGAACCCGAACCCCGATTTGAATTGGTTCAAGGTAAGTGTGAGAGGAGAAGGGTGGTTAGTGGGTTTGGTATGGGTGGGTTGGGGTTTCGACAGTTTGGCGACGACTTTTGGTTGGGTTTGGTAGAGGAGTACGGTGGTTGGGATGGTTAGGGTTGGATTTGGGTGGTTTGGCGATGTATTCGGGTCGGGGAGACGATGATGGGGGCTGGGCTGGGCTGGTTTGGGTTGGGGTCTGGTTGGTTCCGCGACGTCTAGGATACAGTGATAGGGGCTGGGTTGGGGTGCCGGCCATGGTAGGGTTGAGTTAGGGGCTGGGTTGGGGTGTCAGCCATGGTTGGGGCGCCGGTGGTGGTGGCTGGGTTAGGATTATAAGGTTTTTCTTTTTTTTTTTTGATTTTTTTTGTGAATTTTTTATCCAATAGTTGATTGACACGTGTACTGTGTGGGGCCCACTTAATGTTTATTTTTTGGATGGCAAAGTTAAGTGGTGGTGAAAGCAAATTTTTGGTTTTTTTTTGTGGTGTTATAATAAAAACTTTTTTTTGTGGTGTTATTATCAAAATCGTGACAAATTTTGGGTGTTATTTTCTAATTTTTCCTTAAAATAATTTAAATTCAATAAAATTGTTTTAAGTTAACTAAAAATAAATTCAATCATGAAAAATAAGTTATTATCCATAAAATTGATAACTTAAAAGAACAAATATAATCGAGAATTAGTAAAAGTATGTTGTAATCAGTAAAAATAATTTCAATTTAAAATATTAATTAAATTTAGCAAATGTAAGGTGAAAAGAATATTATTTTAGTACATTATAGGGAATTTTTCATTAATATAACAATAAAAGATAAAATGAAATTCTCACTCACAGTTTTGAATTTATTATTTTTTTTTTATTTGACAGTTTGATTGTTTTTAATTTAGTATTTAGAAAAGAAACACGTAGGGTATATTACAACTAGTCACAATTTGAGAGAATCGTCTAGATTATTACCAATATATAAGAGAAAATATAATCATGATGTTGCTTGTTTAATTCATCTCAATAAATGCCTCAAAAATATTAAAGTATTTTGACAAACATGAACAATCAAAAGTCAAAACAACAACGTAAAGAAGCTAGAAAGTAAGAAAACAAGATAGAGAAAAAATGCAGGTTACCAAATTCCTAAAATCATTAAACCAATCATGAAACAATGCCTAGCAATCTAGCATATTGTAGCCTTTTAGGTTGGTTCTTCTCTTGTCATGAGTAAGACCTTATTATATTCATCTTATTTTGACATATTCAAACAAAATAAATAAAGATAAGTTCCGGTAAATCAAATGAGTTAAAATCATCACATATAACAGGAAAAAAAATAACCGAATAAAATATAGCCTAAATGAGTGATTATACTGATCAAGTGGTCAACACAGTACGATCTAGGTTACATTAATCACATTTGCCAATTGCAATGAATTCTATTACAATGTTCCTTGGAAGTGATACATGCGTAGTTAAAGAACAATCTAAAATCCCAATCTTCTTATACTTTAGAGCATTAAATAATCTAAAACCCCATAACATCAACCAATGAAGATTAGAACACTAAGCAAAACTAAATTAAGATTGCTAAGGGAAAAAACAGAGAATATAAAACTAGTCATGAACAATGGATTGAATTAGAATGGACGCTTCATCCCCTTCTGGAGCCGCAACATCTGCATAAACACAACCAATTCCCTTCGTTAGTCCTCTCTTTCAACTTATTATGTGCCGTGGACTCGTGGTTGCCATAATACAAGTGTAACAAAATAAATTTACCAATAACTTAATTGAATTTGTCATTATATTGAGGTATTTAAACTTAATACCATATTATTTGACACACTTGTAAAAACTTTGGAATTAGATTCCAAAGCTTGCAGTTCAAATATTATTGACACAAATCTATAGGAAGTGAGGTCTTTTTTACCTCCCCTATTATAAATTTGAAAGTACTTAGCTTGTAGAGATTTAATTAGACTCCTTCGGTATATGCATCGAGCTAGATTCTACTACCACTAATCTCTTATTTATAGGTAAATTAACTTATCCAAGTTGCAAAGACCTTGTAAATTAGGGGTGAGCAAAGACCCAGGGTACCCGGTACCGGACCCGGAACCGGTTAGGATCCGCCGGGTCCGGACCCGGAACTGGTCCCACCGGTTCCGGGACCGGGTCCAAAATGTCGGACCCGGTTGTAACCGGTTCCGGGACCGGGTCCTAAAATTTCGGACCCGGTACCCACTGGGTACCCGGTTTAAACCAATTCCAGTTCCGGGTACCCGGTCCCGGATCCAGACAATCCGGGTACCCGGAACCGGTACTGATTTAGTTATAAAAAATTATTTTTTTTTTAAAAAACCCAACAATCCACAGTCCAATACAACATTAGGCCCATTTCATCCAATTCATTTCTGCTAGGGTTTCTGTCAGCCACTAAGCCTCCTCATTTCATTGAATTCATTTTTGCTAGGGTTTTGTTCTTCTCTGTTCATTCTCAATCTTCTCTGTTCTCCTCTGAAAATCTCATCTTGTCTTCTTTCGTTCTCATCAATTCACTGATTCTCGGTCTTCTTTCGTAAGTATTTTTCTCTTGGTACTCAAAATCTCATCCTCTCTTTCGTTCTCATCAAGCCACCGAACGACTGTCTCTTTCGTAAGTATTTTTCTCACTTTGTTTGCTTTTTGTTTCATCTTGCATATGTAGATCTCTGGTACTGTTTATTGCTGCTTGCATTTTCTTTGGAGATAGTTAGAGTGTTTATGTTAATTTTAATTTTTATTTTCTTCAATTTCTGAGGGTGTTACGAGTGTTTAATATGCTGAAATCAATGAATTGGTACAAATTGACTGCACTTATAGTCTTTTTCTGCAATTTCTGGGTGTTTGAATAGATTCTTATTGAGTATTAATTGGTGGGTACCATTTTTAGTTGTTGTACATGTTTAGTTCAGTCATTGCTTTTATAGAAGTTGTTGTTTGGCTGTTAACATTGTGGTGTTGATCTCAGTACATGAGGTGGGTACACTGGGGTTTCGTTTTAATGATGTTATGTTTGCTGCTTGCATTCTCCCTGATAGAGTTAAAAACATTGGAAGAAACAGAGTCAATAACTCAATGTTCTATCTTTTGGCTTTTACCACTTGCGATGGATTAGTGGAAAAATTGCTTTAGAGGAGATATTTCCCAAAGTTCAAAAATTTTTTGTTGAATTTTTTTCCTGACTGAATGATTAAATAAAAAAATCATACTACACTACACTACAATCCCATCTTCTGATCACATTCACCTTGCATCTTTGCAATAGTGTTTTTTTTTTTTTTTTTTTTTTTAATCTAGTTATCATGATATTGGTTTACCTTGTTTTTTCAGATTTTCAGATCTATTTCTTGTTTTATTGAGCTGGTCTTTTCTGAAATTTGTAGTTGTGGAGAAAGATGTAGATGGTGATGCATGTGCAGGAACTACAGTTGGATTTCTATGTAGAATTCTGCTTGTTTAAAAGGTTTTTATAGAGGAGAAAGTGTTTCAACAACTAAAGGAACCTTCTTTTCATAAGATTAATTACCATTTTTTCTTCAAGTCATCTAAAATTTTGGAATTCAGTAAACAAATGAAATATTGGGCCTTTTTTGTTATTACCAGCCCACTTACTCACAACCCATTCATCTTATAAGGAGTACTTATTATTAAAACCCTAAAACTACTCTTCACCGCCCACCAAATGCACTATCTTCACAAATTTCACCAGCCAATATCACCTTATAATTCATCAACCACCCTTTTCCATATTCTTAGATCTATATCAAATTCTTATTTTTTTTATTTTTTGTTTTTTTTTTTTGACGAAAAACATATTATGAACCTGTTCTCTCTTACAAATTCTCATTCATGGCATATGAAGAAGTCGGAACCACCACCACATCAACGAAGAACACGTCAATGTTAAGAGAATGAGAGAAGAGGTGATAGTTAAGGGCGGTGACCCGAAGAAGAAGCTCGATTATATATTAAATTATAATTTATATAGATTATTTGACTCATACTAATTTGGTAGTGTATAATTCATGTATTGGTTAGATTTTAGATCTTAATTTGTTCATCTCAATATTCTGGAAATTTTCTATGGTTTCAAGTTTTTTAATGGCTGGTCAACTATAACACCGGGTACCCGGTTCTAGAACCGGTACCCACCGTTTCCGGTTCCGGGTCTAAAATTTTGGGACCCGGTTGATACCGGTTCCGGGACCAGTTGCAAAATCTTAGACCCGGTACTAACCGGTTCCGGGACCAGTTGCAAAATCTTAGACCCGGTACTAACCGGTTCCGGGACTGGGTCCTTAGTTTTTGACCGGGTACCCGGTTTTGCTCACCCCTATTGTAAATATAGTAGTAGTATAAAATTTCATCAAGTAAATTATATATACTCCAAATTAAAACACTCCCTTTTGAAACTTTCCAAACTTTTGTCTAAGATACCCTAATTTTAAAAACCATTTCCAAAACACTCCCTTTTTAAACTTTTGTCTATTTCATTCATTCATGCCTTGCAAATATGGAGGAACTTAAAAGTAATGCACTACATCTTACGTTTTAATCAAAAAAATAAGAGGGGTAGTAAAATATACCTTGAACAAGATTAGAGATTAGGCTTCCACCATTACTATTAATATTATTGCCACCTTCACTCTCTTCTTCAACCTTCTTAATCACCTCATTCTCCTCATTTCTACCCTCCAATCTCTCCTCACCACCATCATTTTTCACATCTTCACCCTCACCCTCACTTCTTTTAGGAAACAGATTCGATATGAGATTATTAATCACACCACCACCTCCGCCTTCACCGCCACCTCCACCTCCACCTTCTCCATCACCACCACCTTCACGAGCATCGCCGTTCTCATGATGATCATTATTAACCCCTAAGGCATGATCTTCATCAGTAGTAGGCCTAGGAGAGGTTAATTTAGACAAAAGATTATCTAATAACCCACCACCACCACCACCTCCACCGCCGCCACCTTCGAGTTTCTGCCTCTTCTCCTTCTCTTGCTCGTCTTCATGGTTAGCCCCTTCATCTCTCCCTCTAATTTCAATCTTAGAAGGCCTAATGAAGGTCTCATTTTCTATAGCAATATCTTCCATTTTTATTTCTTCTTCTACTTTTAACACAAAATCTTCCGTAAACCGCATGCTAACTCTTTCCTTTTTATACGTACTAAAGTATGGGGCTTAAAAGATAAGTATGTGTCCTCCAAAATATTTAAAAGAAAAAGAATAATAAAGGACACGTGTATCGAAGAAATTGTCTGATTTAGCTCGTTGAACCAAGACTGACCATTTATAACATTGCACGTGGTGCCCATTTACAGCTCCTGCTTCTATCCCATTTTCCCAAAATGGTCGGTTTATTTTCATATTTATTTCACTCTTTCCCGTTTTCAGAGAGATTAAACAATCAAAAAGAAAAGCTGGGTAATTGTGTTAGAGAAGATAACCCAGATTCCGTACTACACGGTAAAAAAATAAGTTCAGATAAAAATTAATAAGTTTAGATGTGAGCGTAATAAGTAAACGTCAAAAATTGAGGAACGTGGCCATGCCATTGTCGGAAATCTACTGTTTGTTCATCTTAAGGAAGAGTGCTTGCTTAATAACATCCTTTTATTATGGAAAACAATGGACAAAGTTGAAAAAAATGAACATGGAATCATGTATTGGCCATTGCAGATGTAAGTTGTGCTGCAAACCTGTCTAAATAATAGCAGAAATCGCGATGGACCAAATGATAAAATTAAATAGTAAAGTATGATATACAATGAGGGAAAGAGATGATTACAACACTACGTACAGGAAGATTTGATCAAAGAACCCTTTCCTACGAAAGAGACCACCGTTCTCAGCAGCAGCTAAAGCAAAAAAATTTATCATCTTCAGCCAAATTCAAAATTAAGCTAGTATTGATTTGATATGATCTGCAAAATAATGCCAGGATAAGCACAGGTTAACTACTCCTCAAAACCAAAAGGATAAATCCAATGGACAGAAAATTATAGGTCAAGAACTGCAGGGTGGGAAGATACCTGTTAAGGGTTATTACGTTTATATCGCTCAATGTATGCTTCCGTCTCAGCTTCCTTCTCTGCTTTTCTCCTTTGCTTCCTGTTTTCTTCTCTTGCAGTAGCATCTTCTGCAACTTTCTTCATGACTTCTTCAAAACCAGGTATTGTACGATTTAGTTTTTTGTATACCTGGAAACTCAGGTCCTCGAATACCTTGAAAATCCTCTGCACAATCACAATATCAAAATTTAATTACAGCTACAACAGAATGAACAGGAATAGCAGTCATAAAGAGGATACATTAGATAAAGTCAAAAACAGGCAACATGAAAGCCGAGTCTCAAAATTCAGGGTCAATATAGGATTATAGGGTAATTAAAATTGATTGCATAGCACAGAAGTAGTGAAAACTTCATAAATAACTTTCCTACCATTTTTAGCTTGATTTAGGTTGGATTGCAAAAGGGTAATTCAATCTTCAAATAGATGGAAAAACAATTTCCCTATATTACAACAGAAATTGCATTTTCAGTTCTATGTTCCTCTCAAAAAAATGCTTTCTTTATTAGGCCTGCATATGACAGCAAGACCAGCTTATCCTCATCAATGGAAGTAAAAGCCCAACGAGTAGATGACTGCATGCGCTAGGGCAATGATTTTTTGTCATCTTTTTCTTCGGGCCCAAAAAAATAAAAACAAGAGGGAGATGGAACACCACAACAGCCAAGCCAGTGGTTCCTCTTAAAAGTCACTCTTGTACTTCATCAATTTTTTAGAGATCTGCCCATTCTCAATTTTGGCCTATTCAAGAGTTTGCTTAGCAATCATTGTTGCCGAGGTTGAGAAGCTAGTGCAGATTATAATCCACCTTGAGGACAAGATGAAAGTTTGGGCAGCAGGTAATGCAAGGAATCAATATTTAAAGGAAGGGTATGTTAGTCTTAGTAATAGTCTATAGTAGTAACTTGGGGAATAAGCTAAAGGTTTGTTAGGAGGTATTTTCTATCAATAGGTTTCATTAGGAGGGAAGAGAATATGTTGAATATTGAGTGTTTTGTAATTGGGAGAGAGTGAGCCTCTCAAAAGCTCATACTTAGAGAGAATCCACCTTTCAAAAGTGGAATTATCATCATATCAATATAATCATCATTTTCTTCTTAATATGCTGCCATTGTTAGTGCTGTCAGCTGTCAATTCCTAGCACAAATGCACAATGCTCCACAGCTGACTTCAGGTTGAACGAAAAACAAGCACAAGTGAATTTTATCATAAGTCGTCACTATTTTGGGACGAGAAATTCTCATTGGTGGCCATGTAAATTGCACTTTCTCTTTGCTAAGTTGGGGGAAAAATGAGGAAAAAAATAAAAACTTACGGAGTAATATCAAATGTAACCCTCTATTTTTTACTATTATTATTCGTAGCATTAATAAGGGACAAAACTTAAACTTAATTTTTCAACTGTAGTTCACATTCCTGAAGTTAATTCTTCTCTTATCTTATTTATATCCTTTCTCAGTTGCTAATCTCTCCCCACCCACCACATTCAGGTCTGCAGTTGCCATCAATGTTCCACTAGCTGCTCAAGTTTTATTGTTTTAGGCAGAAGCAAATGCTGAAACAAAGACTAGTCTCTTTATCTAGTCATTATAGCTAGATTACGAGCTCTAATCAGTGTGGTCACATGGACTCTAGGGACAACATTACTACAGAAATAGTCTAATTGTGAGATAATTAAGGACATATTTCTTGCCAAGCCACACAGTTCTCTTGGTGCATTTAGTGAATTTTTTACCCCTTCCAGGACAACTAGCTGCCATTGTTGAGGTCTATCATTGCCTCCGATCTAGAGTTGCTACTTGTGTGCCAGTGTCACTGCACTTATTATTCTCCAACTGATTGCTGGAAAAAGATATTAATGGAGGATAAATTGGGTTGAATATTAATGCATTTGGGAATTAATTGAAAAAAATGGAAGTTTAAAGGAAAACACAACCACCATTAGAGGGACTACTAACCATGTAAAAATGTAATTAGTATCATAGGGCATATATGTAATTGTACTATTAACGATGGTAAGAAAATTAAGTTAATTTAAAACTTTTATCATCATTGATGCTATAAATGATAATATTCAAGAACAAAGGGTTACCACAAATATTAAGGTTTTTTTTTTATTATTAACAAAGGGTTTCCTTATGACGATTCATATTAGTCGACCCCAAATCATTTTGGGAGGCTTTGTTGTTGTTGTTGTTGTTGTTGTTGTTGTTGTTGTATAACCAAAGAGTGCAATTTTACAGGGTTACCAATGAGAATTTCCCTTTTGGGAAAAGAGATGACTTTTCTAGACCGCCTAAAAAAGTACTCCATATATGTGACTATAAGAAGTACTCATTTACAAACTTAATGGAAACTCCACTGTAGCTGCTGAACCAATATTCTAGGGATAAAGGCTCTGACATTGATGTTGTATGCAAAACAAGTTCGAAATAGTTTGAACTACTGTATAATATGCTCAGGAAAAGAAGGCATTGCACACAAAGGACATACCTTAACATCTCTGTTCCAACGCCTTATATATGGAGGACCAGTTGTGTAGGAGCCAAGAGGCTCACGATACCATTCTCTGCCATATGTAATTTGGTCCATGGCTTGTTCTACACTTATTACCTCCCAGGGCCTTAAACCAGGGATGGCTTTAGCCAATTGCAGCCTGCCTCACAAAAAAATTTATATCACACACCCATCAACACAGTGAACTAAAAACCAAATTACAAGGGTAAAGATTCAAAGGAAACTTTAATTTAAGAGCTAGGTAATCCGGCTATTGTAGGAGATTATCATCACCAAGATTATAAGTTGTCAATAGGGTAGTTCAGCAGTAAGATTCCGCTTACAATCGAATACTATCTAAACTTTGGTGCCTCAAATGTAAGAGATTGTTCAGACAACATTTTATTAATAAAAAATTGTTCAGACAGCATACTTGAAAATGTTTGTCAATAACAATGAGATAAGAAATAAGGAAATAAACACCTTAGATGTTTTGGTATGTATTTGTTTGGCATGTGATCAGCTTCCAATATTGTTGTAAGCTCAGAACCACTAGCCCATAGAAAGAGAGCATGACTTGGGGTTCTTACTCCAGGCCAATAACCGTCATTAGCTTTGAGTACGGCTAGATCACGCTTCTTACTTTCCATAGCCTCCTCTTGCATTTGCTTGTAGGTTTTCTTTTCAAACCCCTTTAATGGAACCAAAGGAGACATTCCTTTCTGAAGCTTATGGAGAAATGCTGTAGCAGCTGCTCCAAACTTGACTGAACAATGCAAAACAAGACATAGATCATTAAGTGGATACAACAAGAAACTCAAGAAGAAAAGCAGTACAACATAACAGACATCTTCTCTGTTGATATTTCGTAATGGAGAAACTTTTTTCATCTTTAATTTAGATAATTTTGATGCTTATGAAGTATATCAGTAGTAGTGTAGCCAGTATATGTTCATGTATGACTTTGAGCCTGGAGGCTTTAACAATCTGCATCTTTTGGGCTCTAATAAATAACTTTGCACTTGGTGTCTCTGTCTATATCCATTCCTCCTACCAGTAAAAAAGTACAATGCTTTTTTCCTCTCAGCTGTATTCTTGGACATTTGAATACTTATACTCTCTAAAAGTTATCTTTGCATTTATATTCTTATATTCTTCATACAGACCCTAAATTATAATTTCTAACCACCTTTACCTTTAAACTGCCAAGAAAATATTTGGGCAAACTTAATCATCTTAGTGTATAGAACAGCTTGCCAAGAAATTATATAAAGAAAAGGGAATGATAGAGATAACCAGTGGGTTATTATGGCCATGACCAGAGATTAGAAAGGAAAAGTTCATGGTTACACTACATTCCTTTTCCCTAGAGTGGCACTACCAAAGTACCAAGTTAGTCAAAAGTAAGTTACAGTTGGACCTATTCACTGAGGAAAAAAAGGCAGCCTTTTGACTACAGTCTCAACTCAAGTCCTGGACCAGCCAATTCCGGTTCAATGGGGCTTGATCAGCCCATGGCCAGCCCTAGGCAACAGAAAAACCACCACATAACCACTTTTTAGCATTCCTTCAACTGGAATTATAATTGACTTGATGGAGCTAAGTAAACAGCCAATGTAGTTATTGTTACAGCTTCAGATGCCTATCTAGTAACTAATAGATTCATATCATCAATTAATATGCTTTGCTAGTGGAGATGAATGCTGCATACAGTTAAGAAGGGAAATAAATTTTGGGAGAAAACTGCAAAGAAACATCAGAGATGTTGAGAATAGAGAAAGAAGAGAAGTAAGATCAATTTATAGAATCCTCATTGAATGCTAACAAAAATGATGCTATCTGATTCCCAATACATGCTGGAGCTTTTTTTTTTTTTTTTTTTTTTGGGTGAATTTAAGTATCAGATTCTTTGAAAAAAAGATTATAAATGAGGATTGAAGAATACACAATCCTTCCCTTTCTAATCTATAAAAAAATTTACACCAAATTTTCATAAACAACGAGAACATGTTATTGCAAAAAATGGTAAAAAGCAGCTACATGTAGCTGGAATAAAGTCATCTATGATCTTGTGCCTTGATTTTTGCAGCTTGACTGCTTTCCTCTATACTTTATGCATGGGCCAGTTTCATGTTTCGCCTCTTATTAGTTCACTATAGTGTCACTACAGGCTTGGGGGAAAAGGGAGTTTGTGGAGAACCTATTTAGTTAACAGCTCGTCGTGTCTGTGGCTGGCCACACCGTTTGACCACTTATAAAAGAACAAAATAGCCCCCATAACACTGACCGAGTAACCCCTATAACACTGATTGTGTAATCCCTTTAACACTAACGAAGTAACCCCTTTAACACTGACCAAGTAACACCTATAACACTAACGAAGTAACCTCTATGATGGCTGGCCACACGGTGTGGCCAGCCACATAAAAGAATTTGCGTTTAGCTAATTAGCTATTAATCTATAAGACATAAACACACTTCTTTTTCTTCATATAAACCAAAGTATGCCATACAGCCTTTTATTTTAAGAAGTAAGTCGGTGGAAATGTGGAATGTCAAAGCAATGTGTCAAAGCAATGTGTCAGAAAGTCTCAGTTCAAGGCAGAATTTATTTCTAAAGAGCAGTCGTAGGGTGTCAGCAATTAGCAGTTATGTTTAGTTGTTTTACAGCCTATGGTGGCATTGATTGAATATGGAATATCCTAAACTCAAGATGAAATGATGAATATCAAGATTTATGTACTAAAAGTGTCTATCAAAAAACAAATCCGGGATAAGCCTCCTAAGTTCAAGTCTGCCACTTCTAGTAATGATTTGAAGTAGACTAATATAATCTTTCATGGATCCAATGTTCCAATCATTAAACAATGCCAATGTAAAATAATGTTTTGCAGCAGTAAGCCTGCGGCAGGCATACCGCACGCCTGAATCCCATCAATATAGTCTGTAAGTTCATGTGTGTTAGAAACAACTAAACAAAAATAAATAGGTGTGAAAGCTGCTGTAACAGCCACACAACACCACTGAATCCCATGAATATAGTCTGCAACCGCCCAACATCATACGAACAAGATAGCTAACTGCATTTACTATTGAGATAATACTTAATATTTAAATGGCAATAAAAAAAGATAGACAGATAGTCGAATTGACAAGTAACAAACCTTCCCAAGTAGCAATTGCTCGCTCTAAGCCATAAATCATGCCTATAGGTGCCCACTCATCCAGATCCTCTCCCCAAATGAAAGTATTTTTATCAATTATGCCTGCACCCCAAGCAGTCTTAAGTTGAATCAGCTCACATGGTCCTCGTGTACGACCCAATCGATCCTTGTAGAACCAGCCACCAGTCTTCATTATAACTATAAACATAAATATATAATTAGCATCTTCTGAAAAAGTAATGAAAAAATAGTACATCAAATAAAGGACTATGGTTGGTCACGGAGAACATCATCAATTCTTCACACGAAAAAAAAATATATAATAAATTATAATACAATTGTACTCTGAACCTATATCCATCTTCTGTTTGTGTTTGGGCCTTTCGTCATAACGTAATATATTAATCGTTTTCTTGTGTTAAGAAAAATAATAATTAAAAATGCAAATAATATAACGTTGAGCCTTCTGATACTTTCTTTAACTCACAACTAATACGGAGTAATTGCTAGCACTTGCTACAATATCCAGAAACTATTTTCCACCTTTCTTGATTTTATATTGTTCATTTGCTCAGGATTTTCTTCCTTCCAAAAAGATCAAACAATAACTGCAAAGAGCTTCCAGTCAGTTGCAATATTGCTTGCACAGTATGCACACCTTACAAAACTACCCTGAGCTGATGAGCAATGAGACACATTCGTTTCTACTTTACCTTTCATCTGCATCAACATGTCACATATTTTCTTGCTTATGAAATATCATAAGGTCTGCTAAGTGCATACTCAAAACTCTCATTACACAAGAACACTAACAATTAGTGTATTTTTTTTTGCTTTTTGAAGGTTAAATTGATTTATTCCACCGGTTCTCCCAGGTTAATAGGAGACTGTAGGGAGCCCACAACATTTTAGAAGAGGCAAAGGAGAACATAATACTTCCTAACACCTTAAAGAAACTAAATTTCTCATTGTGTTCAAAAACTTTTTTTTATTGACAATAATGTGGAAGGATTAGAGACCAATGAGGTCTTGGCCTAGTGGTTAAGACGAAGAGCCTTGTGGAAAGTTAATTATTTTAGGACCTCCTGGAATCGGGAGGGAAGCTCTAACCACTTGAGCTATCCCTCACTCTCGGAAAGTTACTAAAACTCTATCAATGAAAGAAATCAACTAAAGACAACAAAACAAAGCCTCAAATTTCCGAATAATTTGCACTGATCGAACAAACAAAGCAACATTCAACAAACAATAATTGCAATTCAACTCAGCGCAGGAAAAAATAAGCACAATTCACACATTTAAGAGCATGTTAAGTGCCCAAATTCATAATATCAATTCAACTCAACACATGAAGAAACAAAGCAACATTGAACAAGCAATACTCACAATCATAATACCGCTTTTCGAGCCGCTTATACCCAACAGCCTGAGCAACATCAATCGGTCTACTCGGCGGATACGGGCGCTGCCGGAAACCCCAGAGACCAAAAAAGAACTGCTTAGCAAAATCCCAAAACTTATCATCCGATTCATCTTTAGTTTTTATAGCTTTCCTAGGCATTGGCCTTCCATCTAACCCAATAACATTAGGAACTTCCTTCCAAAGCTTAGCATCCTCTCTTCTATAAGGCTTTTCATTCCTCTTAACCTCAAATTCATTATAAGCATCAGCAATTTCTTCAGCCCTAGCTAAAAATTGAACTAATGGGTTACTCCTAAATTCTTCCCACCATTTTTTATTCTCTTCAATTTCTTCTGGAGTTGGGTTTTCTTTGGTTTCAAAAACTGGGTCTTCATTCAAAATGTTATCAACTTCTGGGGTGTGTCGAACATCGGGTAAATTCTCACATTCCCACCAAAATTGTTCGAGCATTTGTTGGTATTTTCCTGGTTTTGAGGGTTCTTCATTTGGTTTTGGTTTCTTTGGGTCGGAAAGAGAAAGGGAAGAAAAAAGGGGTTTAGGAGGGTTTTGGGAGATTGATAGAGAGAGAAAATTGGGGAATGAAATTGGGTGTGGAGGTTTTTCGAACCAGTGGAAGAAGTGCTCACCAAATGGACCTAAGTTGATTGAAGCCATTTTTTGAGGTTTTGATTATGGAGTTTTCTGGGTTTTTCTGGTTATGGTGTGAGTGTAAGAGGAGAGGGAGAAGATAGGCATAGGCTCGTGAGGAGGAAATGGAGTGGGCTTTGAAGGTTGAAGCTACATGACCAAGTTGACCCGAATCGTTAACCCAATTCTTTAAGGATGTTCAATTGTTCAAATTTACTCAATCAGGTTGAGGCGTTTAGCAGGTCGTTTTAATTTAGGCTTTGTTTTTATTCAACTTAATGCAAATGATCAGGTGAGATCATGAGCCGATTTGTAGGACAAAATGAAAAATTTGTTAAAGTAATTTGAGCGGTCGTTTTAATTTATGCTTTGTTTGGTTCATCTGTAGTCTCATCCTACTTTTCTCTCCTCTAGTCCTCTCTAGTTCTTACTCCATCTTTTTTTTTTTTTTTTTTTTATCTGCATCAGTTTGAGCGACATATTTGTTAAGACGTTACTTTGACCATTAATATCTTTAATTATATATTAGTAAAATTGTAATAAAATTATATTATGAAACAAGACATTATGACAAATCTAATGATATACTTCATCCCATAATATAGTTTTTGTTTGTGTTTTTAACGGTATTTAAGAAATATGAGGAGAAAGTGGATGAAGTACATTAATAAAAGTGAAAAGTACAATTATAGATAAAAGTTAAGAGAGAGAAGGTGTATAAAAGTATAAAGCATGTGCAAAATTTTAGGGTAATGTAGGAAGGAGAATGAATAAAGTTAAAAAAGTGAATGTATAATGGTCTTTACATATTATCCAAAATAGGAACAGGAACAATATTTTGGCACTCCAAAATAGGAAAACAGAAACTATATAATGGGACTGTGGGAATATTGTATAATAACATTTAGGAAATTTTGACATTTGCTACCACTAAAAACACCATGTTTAACATTTGCCACCTGTTTAATTTTTTTATTTTTTTTAACTTTACTACCACCTAAAACAAAGTCAACCATGTTATGTGAATAGTGTAATTGTCAAAGTGATGCATTTAAAAAAAACGGAAGGAACACTGTACTCAAGCGCTTACGCACACCCAACCATAAATTCTCATCTCACAATTAATCCATTTTAATTTTGAATTGGATTTAATTTAGTGTCCATTCAATCATATGTAGAAAAAAGGGAATTTGGATGAAGAAGAACACTAATCGTTATCATTGTGTTCTTCAAAAAGTTGATGTTTGGAATATTTATAATGAGGGAAATCTAATAAGATACCATATGTGTAGACATCTACTTTTAGCCTCCTGTCCCGACAGGAAGTGTAATGACGATAAATAAAACCATCTTCATGTTGGATCAAAGTAAAGAATGCTTACGGATAACTGGTTAAGCCACAAAACACAAAAGACTAGCCCAGATAAAAGAACAAGGCCAACACAAGGTCCAAATTAACTAAACCCGATCATAATTAGGCTTAAGCCCGCGCTTAAAACCCAATAATGACGGATTTAGGAGCGTCTAGGTTAAAATAAAAGTTGTCGCGGAAAATATCGCGTGCATCTCATAAAGTTGCGCTCAGCAGTCGCGCAACTTTCAGAGATGCGCTCGCGCAAGATTCAGAATATTAAAATATTGGAAAATCGAATCTTACCATAGAGCTACGCGCAAGACAAATAGTTGCGCACGTATACCGTGCGCGACCTATTCACTTGTGCGTGACACCTGCTGCGGCAGAATGCTCTAAACCCTAAACCTAATCATTCCCTATAAATAAGACCCTAATCCGAGGCTTCAACAGACAGAAAATTAACCTAAACGCTAGCAGAATACTTGTGAACTTGTGCATCCAAACCCTCTTGTCCTAAACACTCACCCTTTTCGATATTTTGTTACTACGATGGAGGTTCCCCAACAAGAAGGAGTCCATAAGTGTTCTAAACGGAGATCTAGCAAAGAGAAGTGGTAAATTCCCGAGCACTTAGTAAAATCACCATTATTTTTATTGTTTAAAAGAACTTTAATTAATTAATTAGTGTTGTTTGATCGCCTTAAAATAATAAATTAATTTATTTCACATAGTATTCTTTCGTTAATCAAGATTAGAATTGAATAAAATAATTGTTGGTTGATCACCTAAGTCAAGGCCAATATTGTTTATTTTATTGTTCTTTTCACAAATTTGATTAAATAAGAATAACGACCTTACGATGTAATTCCTATGTGAATTATCACGTTGCATATATTGTTTGGCAATGAACTTGTGCAAAGGAAGAGCTAGTAGAGGCCGCACTAGGGCTAGGATCGCGATTCCCCTCTAAAGGGAACGTTATCTTAGTACCCTCGCTCCCGAACTCATTTCTGGTTTTCTAGACCAATTTGGGCATGGGTAAACTTATGATTCATGCTAAATATCCCTTGAACTCTACTTGGGAGAAAGGCATGAACGAGGTTTATGGGTTTTTCCTAAAACTCATTGGCGACTCCTACTTGTTTCTTACAAAAAAGCGTATATGATAGAATCATCTCTAATTCAAAGGTCTCCCAAACAGTCAGGAATTCAAATCCTAATACACCCTAACAAGTGTAAATTCCTAGGCTTTAAAGGGCCATGGGCATCTAAGGAGAAGGATCCCCTACGATGGGAACACCCTCCTTACAGTGGCGACTCCATTGGGGATTTAGAGGTTACATGATTAGTTTGTAGTTATGGTCCAAGGTATCCAACACTTGGTTACCTATGGGTTGTAACGAGAGCTAACTTGGATAATCTCTAGTTAGAGAGCGAGACTTGAACGCATATTATCTTCCTTTTACAAAAAACTAAAAGTCAAACAAGCAACATTGCATCATGCATAAGTATAGCACACTTAAACCATGGGGATTGACTCATTGACTAGGGGTTGCCAACACTAGGCTTCTATCCCGAAATCAATAATAATCATCCCACCCATATCACCAACAAAACGCTGGGAGAGCGATGTCATGAGTCAACTCGTTGAGTGATTGATTTGTGCGTCGTTTCTTAAGATATGGTACCTTGGGCACCCAAGCCTTTTCGACCTTAGAATGACAATATGTGGATTATAACTTGTGGCATGCTTATGTGATTACATGACTATATGCAACGTGTTAGGATAGATTTCTTTCTTCTTTTTAGCTTGGTCTAGGTTCCCAATTACGAAGTCGTCTCTTCGTAATTTAGAGTCATATTCAACGGGTAACATAAAAAAAAAGAACGATGTAAAAAAAAGAAACGAAAATAAAAAAAAACGCTCGAACAAAAAAACAAGTCATACGAGCAGGTGGCGCGTGCAACTCACAGATTTGCGCGCCCATACCCAGCGCAAGAAAATTAGTTGCGCGCGACATCCGCGCGCACCCACTGTACGAGTCAGTTTTGATTTTGCAAAAAACAAGTTGATTCGTTAAAACGATATCTTTATTCAAGAATTGTTGGGGGCAATGTTATCCGTTCGAATATATCTTGCGTCATTTTATTTTTTCTTTTTCTTTTTCTTTTCCTTCTTCCCCTTCTAAGCAAGCATATTGGTTTACTTATCCTTTCATACTTCTTTAGGGCCGGTTTCCAATCTTGGGAAAGAAAAATCCCGGGTGCTCGCCTTCTACGTTTACCACCTAAAGATCCAACCCTTTCAAACCATTCTCCTTCGACAACTAGTCCTAGTCCAATAATGATGTCTACCATTCAAGAACTTCAAGATGAGATTCTTTGTTTGAGAGAAGAAAAGGCTCAAGAAGCCGAGGAAAAGAGAATTAAGAAAATTGAAAAGGCTAGTAAGAAAAATGCTGAAGCTTTAGCCTTACAAGAAAAGATGGAACAATTATCCATCAAAGAAAAGTCGTTAGAGAAGCTAGTTCTTCGTTCTACAATGGGGAACAAGTACTTTGACGTAGAAAAGTTTGCTCCTCCCGCAGGACTTGCTTTGCCGGAAAAGTTCGTAGCTACGGACTTACCAATATTCAAGGTGACCAATAATCCACAAAATCATTTAATGTGTTTTACTGGCACTATGGCACTAAAGGGGGTTGATCCCAAGCTTTACGTTTTGACTTTCCCCTTGTCTCTAGACCCAACCGCGAGAGAGTGGTACTATGGGCTAGACCCAAAATTCAAAGCAACATGGGAAGATGTAGTTTCGACTTTCATTACCCAATATGAGAGTAATGTAGAGTTCAAGTCCACTCTACGTGAACTCGAAATGCTTAAGCAAGGCGACGATGAAGGTTTCCTTGCTTTCTATGGTAGATGGCGAGAAAAGGCGGCCCACCTTGCCCAAAGGCCACCCAAACTCGAGCTAGTACAAAAGTTTATTGACAATTATCATGAAAAGTACAACAAGCATCTACGTTACCTTGGTTTAGACACTTTCCAAAAGGTCTATTCCGTGGCTACTAGGATTGAAGATAATATTGCTAAGGAAAAAGCAAATAAGCCTCATCATCATCAACCTAAAAATAACTACAAGAAGGGGAATGATGGCTCATCATCCTTTATTGATGTATTTGCGATCTCCACGCAATACCACAACACAAATCAATATAATGATCCTAGGAAAAGATGGACAAAAGAAAGAAAATTTAATCCATTTCCTGTAAGCTATAAAGAATTGTTAGAAAAATTAAATGGAAAAATCTTACTTGCACCAACAGGACTAACACCACCCACTCCACCAGAAAGAAGGTTTCCTAATTGGGATGGTAATGCTTATTGTGCTTATCATAGAGGCAATGGACACGACACTAAACGTTGCTTTGTCTTAAAACATAAAATACAGGATTTGGTAAACGATGGGAGAATTCCCACGCCTAAACCAAACAATAATGCATCCCCCTTGGGGGTGTTTCAAATTGATGAGGACCATATGGTAAGCGATATGTTCTATCCATTGAACTACATCACACCTATAGGAAAACCTCTACCCACAATACTCATAGGGGCAACTAATGAAGTATGTGGGCTATGGGACGACGACTTTCAAGACTTATATATCTCTAAGTATGCCGCCGTCCCACCTCCATCTTGTTTACAAAATGAAACAAATGGAGCGCTTGATTGGGATCATTTCTTGGGGAAGTCACAAGACTTATCAAATCTCTCCTTGGATGAACAATGGCATCAAGCTCAACTCATGGAACATCTTGAAATGGAGGCACGCTCAAAGCCTCTAGAAGAAAGTTGGTTCATAAGTCCTACAACTAATCCAAACGAGATAGATCATTTAAATCGTTATGGACGAATTTACCAGGCACC